TTTTTTTTTTTTTTTTTTTTTTTTTTTTTTTTTTTTTTTTTTTTTTTTTTTTTTTTTTTGCATGTTAAGGTGAAGGAGTAGTTTTTGATTAAGCAGTTAGTTTTGATTTTTGTGTTAACAGAGCTTCAATTTAAGAAAGTCATTGTAAAGACTTCATCAAGAAACAAGAAAAGTCCTGGTACCAACACTCATACTCTGGAGGAACTATCATCATCAGAGCTTTGTTTTGCTTTATCCTGACTACAACCCTAACAATAAAGAGATATAGAAAAATGTGTATCTCAGATGTATAAAGAAAGCAATGAAGCAAAGTTCAGATATGGATTTCCTCCCTTGAGCAAAAAACTACAGGACTTCTCCCTAGTGCAAGAAACAAGAGGCCTGCGTAATGTTGAACCCACTCCTAAGATGTCTGTGAAAACCCAAGAATCAAACAGGCACTCTGCACACAAGAAAGCTGAAGGGGTCAAGGCGACGAAATGCTGAAATACATGAAATGTCTTCTCCATATACCAACCCCATATGCAATCACTGAGGGGCAGAAAAAGGCCTCCACAATTGTTTGCGTAACTATTCACAAGGATTTAACACTCGATCCTGTCACTATTTGGGCAGGTAATACTCAAGACACTGGAAAGCCTTACATTAATTTTGCATAGTGGAGAGCTCTAACACATTTATGTGATATTTTTGCTACAATAAAGATGACAAGCTCTTTATGAGAAGGCTGCACCAGTGCAACAAGCACATTGTTCATTTTCCCTGTTTTGGAAGGTTGGAAGAAACTGGAAAGGCATTCCCCTGGAGATACTAGCCTTGGCAAGGCAACAGAAAAAGACATGAATGGATACAAAGCAATATGATACATGGAAATGTTGCAAAAGTACAGTATTGCCATAAGTAAAAAGTAATACAGTGGTTGGTCAATCTTAACACCATACAAAAATACATGTTCTGAAGATCGGGACAAGGACAGTGCTATGGATGTCATTTCACGTGGCCAGTCCTAAAAGCATGGTGGCTAACATTTAACTTTAACACTCAACTTGAAAGAAAAAGTCCAGCCTCTCAACACAGAATACAAGAGACATCATGACCTCAACAAGCACGACGTGGCATCTCAGGGTAAATCTCAGATCAGTCAAAATCACAGGAAAAAAGGCTCCTCATGTGACACAAGGAACAAAAGATGCAGTTACTCAAGGACAAAAATAAAACCATCATCTACCACAGATGATGTTTGAAACATTTTGCAGAATAGTTGCATGTGTGATTCTGAGAGTGGGGATTCTGGAGTGTGGAAAGCTCAAAGCTAGCATGTGCTGACCATAATGTAAGCAGCAGGCCTAGATTCAGCAACAAAGCTCTCAAAAAATTAACTGATACCTATTTTGCTTTCACAGTACACGATTTGTGACTCAACACCACACTCCATGAAAATTGTTTGGCTTTGCCTAATTCTGTAAAACCAAAAGAGACAGGAAAAAGTTTCATGAACAGTAGAAAGTAAACTATTTGAATCAGGTATTCAAATATTACCTATTTAGTGACAGATTTTTAGACCAATTAGCTCTTTTTCTCTGATAGGAACCATGTAAAAGTTGTTACGCTAATAAAAATCTCCAAAAGCAACAATATGATAGTAACTCAAATGTCTACTTGAAGAAATAAAAACAAACCTTCTGATTTTCTTCTATTTCATTTCGCATTTCCTTATCTATGGTCACTCTTGTCAGTGATCTGTTAAAATAAAATATTTGCATCACTCAAACACTGTATTTTCAAAAAAGCATTAAATAATGTGAAATAGGTATTTTAATAAAACATCCAATGCATTTTAACAAAACATCTGTAATTGAAGAATGCTGTAATGAAGTCTTAAGAAGAAGAGCAATGCAGTGTCATAAATTTTGTATTTTCAAACCAAATATTGTTCTATGTTACTCTAGTAAACCCAAGTTTCTAATTCAGGCTAGGTTTTGTTGAAGTAATATAATCAACATTTTTTTACCACTCTCAATCTTTCCTCTTGTGGTTTTTTGTTGTTGTTGTTGTTGTTGCCTTTTTTTTTTCCTTATATTATTTTTTTCTGGAAATAGCATGCATACAAAAAGGAAGCTCCTTGGTCATCTAAATTATTATTTAAATACAACCCATATTTGTATATTTTAAGTTACTGTTACTATCTCCATGCTACTCAACATTACAGCACAGATTGCCAAGGATTTGTCCGGACAAAGGCAAGGAAAACATGCAAGGAATGACCACTTAAAATTAGGTGAGACTATAAGAGATTCACAGATTGAAACCCTTGAAAATGTTAAGCATTCACAGACAGTCAAAATTTTAATTTCCTTAGTCATTCTATCTTTCAAAGATAATGCATTGATTTGCCTTTTTTACCTCTGAATGTTCTGGAAGACTATTTTATCTTCCTCTGCCACAATGTATTGTATGTCAGGCTATCTTAAAATACTTCCAGAAGTAAATTAATCTCTATATATTTTAAGAAAACCTAAACCTGACTGTTGTGATAAATGCCAGAATAAATATGCTAGTTGCCTATATAAGCATTTTTTTCAAAACAGGGTTGTACCTGTTGCATGGGGCTTCAAGAAAAACTGGAATCGTTTTAAACCTGAAAGTTAACTAAGCAAAATGAGAATGCTCCTATACGAAGCCAACTTTAACACTTATGGAAAATAAGGGGGTTATTTAATAATAGATTTGTTCAGAGTTTCACAAAGTTTTTATGCATGTTTTTCTACTTCTAGCAAGTAAATGGATACTATTTATCTTTCTACATGATGTAGAAAAGTTCTAATGTGACCTTCAAGTTGTAATATTCTCTACCATATAATTTTATGCACCTTTGTTCTTACCTGGATGAATATGTAGCTATATAGTACTGAGTACTGAAGGAAAAAAGGAAACCTTTCACATGGTCATAATGTTAACATTCATGAATGATTAATAAATAACAAGTAACAGAACATTATAAAACTTAATACTTCATTATCTGTTCTTTAAGAATGCAATAATATGACAAGTATACAACAATACAAAGATGAAAAATACCCTATAAAATGAATTATCAAAAAGTCGCCATGACATATATCAGTTGTTACACTGTCTACATCTGATGACATTTTGTAAAATCTACCTCAGACTAACCTTTTCAACTAGAAATACTGAGACACAAAATGCAGGCTGTAAATTAGAAAGTGAAAGAAACTTTCAGAGGAATGATACATTATTTTTTTTATGGTCTAAGGAACTCCTCCATTTTTAAGGATCATATTTAATTTTTATTCTCATAACTACAGTTCTAAAATTTTTATACAGCCTTTTCAAAGCATACTTTGCAAAATTAGAAATGGTCGTTTTCATATATAAACTGTCTGAAACTGAACCAATCTTAAAATACTATTAATATAACGGTCAAGTATTTATCTAAAGTGATAAAGCAATATGTCTTCATTTCCTGTTTAATTCTAGCATTTATTTTTCCAAATTAGTATTTTTGACTCATCAGGTTAAGCATGATTACCTTATTAATGAAATCTATTCTGTGCACCATTTTTACGCAATGTCCCTTGGATTTAAGTTTGTTGTCAATGCAGACCTACTAAATTTAAATTATTTAAATATTTGTAATCTCTCATGTTAAAAATAACCTACTAAATTAGCATGTTAGAATACATGAGAACAGGACAGAAACTATGATTCTTCTTTTAATAATTTTAAAGTCTTCTTATACTTTTACCTACAAAATGTTTGAAGAGTAGGTAAATTGTGCTCTCTAATGCCACAAATACATTCCACTTCAACTCCCGTTGAGTAACAATTTAATGACTTTTTAAATCAATGATTTAAATGTCACATAGCATACTTCAAAATGACTTTTTCCTGTCCTTTAAAGAACAGAACTGCCCTTGAAGTTCAATATTATGCACACTTCCACTATCTCCTACTGGAAAGATGAATTTTTTGATTGATAATCTGAATGTAAACTTATATCATACTATTTCATAATAATTATGCTTCGGGCATTTTAAAAGGCATTTTGCTTCCTTGAAACAAGGTGTTACAACGGTAGCTTTTCCATTACAGTGTAGATTTCCTCTAACAGACAGTCAGGGGTGAAAATGAAACACTGTGATAACTAAACGAGTGGTAAAATGTGAAAGCACACTGAGTTAAGAACCCTATTTAGCATCATTTAATTCAGTATTCAAGCAAATATCACTGATAGGATTACATGAAGAACTTATTAAGTATGAAGAAAGGCATTTCTCAATTATAATAAAATTGGCTTACAGGAAGAGCAATTTTTAATATTAGGACAGACAATATTAAGGCCACATCCATTTATTGAATATTTATCTTGATCTTCTACTAAGTAATCTGTTATGGAAGACAGATCATCCCCTAGTAAGAATGCTAACATACAGTAGCCAGGGCCCAATCTCCACAGCAATGTTGTGCTTAGAACTAATGTGTGTGGATCCCCCCCCAAATTTATTAATACAATGTTGCCTCTTCCTACTGTGACTAGAATCTGCTAATTATTCAACAGAAATTTCAACCCAAGAAAAATATCAATCTAGTAAAATCCGTAAGGACTAGGCATTCAACCATAAGTGCCTGAAGGATTAGCATGTCTTCATGGCATCTCCTGCATTAGACAGGAAACATTTGAGAGATCAATCATGAGCTCTCCCTGGAGTCATCTTCTACTCAGTTAAATTGCCTGGGATCTATCTAGCAAGCTGTCAAACATGAATATCTGGTTGCAGGAATTGGATATAAATCTGTATTACTGTCATTAAATTCAAATGCAAACATAAAAACAGTTTTTGAAAAACAAGTTTAAGTATCATACCTGGCTCTTATTGGGAAGTTCTGAGCAATGTCTTTCATTACCTTTAAAGCATCATAAACAGGAGCAGACATAATTCGAGCAGCTGCTTGAAAACTAAGATCTGGGGTGGGGGGAAATGGAAAAAAAAAAAAAAAAAGAAAAAGATCACTGGAAACATCACTCTCAATCATTACTGCCTACAATCAGAAAACTGTTCTATATACATACTTTCACTATCGATGTATTTTATGTTTCAATCAATGATTCAACAAGAAGTAACATTATTAAGGTTGAAAAGAAACTTCACTGAAAAAGAAAATTCCACTTGAAAGTTGGAATATTAAATTCAGGATTTTCTACAGAATTCTACTTAACTTTCTTGAACATACACATTGCACAAGTAATTTCTAAATTTACAGAAACACACTGAAAAAACCCCAGACCATTCATGACATGGTATTATGCTGTTCTCACAAGGGTATCACACTCAAACATAGATACAAACCAACCCACAGAAAGACTTAACAAGATTTTCAGAGAACAGATATATTTAACATAGAAGGTTGCACTGAGCATGTGAATTGTACAATTTTCAAAAGTAGCAGCAATTTCACAGAAAGAAAATGGAAACTTGTGAAAGAAAGGTCAGTCGGTCAAATTTCAGTTCTCCTAAGTGTCCAGCAAAATTTTAAAAGGAATTTCATTTTTCTCTCTCTGCTTTTTCTCAGACTGAAGTAAATTTTCAGATATCAGAACAGTTTAAAATTCATTTGTCTATCCACTAAAAAAACAATGACAGAATTCAGTTAGCTGTCTTTGGCGTCTAACTTGAGTGTGGCAAATTGTGGCACATATGAATAGGAAAAATCCAATTTTGGTACCAGTGAGGTAAGACAATAATATACTAAGTGCTTCCATGTAGCTTGGATACAGTCTGCTTAACTACCTCAGGGCAATGATGCTTCTTTCTCCTAATTTTCTAGTTAAGACACTTGAGCAGAAACTGAAAGCCTCGGATTATTCAGTTTGAGGAAAGCTGATGCCACATATCGGAAAAAAGTGCTGGGCAGAAAATCATTGAGGATGCTGCCTACTAATACTTTGCACCAACTTTCCAAAGTAATTAGGAATTTAAAAAAAAAAAAAAAAAAAGACGGCTGAAGGAAAGTAAATGACATACACTCTTAGTTCAGCCTGAGAAAGTATACCCTGGCTGCAAAGAAAGGTGAGAGGTAGAATGTTAACTTGGTATTTCTTAATACTTTAAAAAAAAAAAAGTATAAAAAGAGATTGCTCTTTTAAAAAGTATGTTTCATATCCCTTTAACAGGCACAGGTTGCAACCAGGTGAAACAACACCCAGTTGCTGCTGTTACTACAGATAGTGATGTCTTACCTGCTGTGAACTTAAGAGGACGTGCTTAAAATCCTTCATAAATTGTTTGTAAATTCCATTTTATGCTGAACAGCTAGAGTATGACTATTCAAACTGAGGCCAACTGACATCTTTTTACATTCCTGGTTATCTCTGGTTGGGGTTGTCACTTACCGACCTACCCTTGCAGCACCCTGACACAGATGAGAGCGCAGTGTAAGGCACCTTGGGGAAAATGTACTTACTAATTACTTATCTAAAATATAAAAGCTCTTGAAGACAACTCTTGAATGGTGTTTAGTTTCATTTATAAATAGAAGTATGCCCTATAGCTGAAGTAGTTTTGCTTAAATTTAGTTAAATTTTTACTTGGAAGCTAATTAAAGGAAATCAGAGAGAAGCTGAGCCATTAATTCAGCCAGTATAATTAGTCATTAAGAATGAACTAAAGAAAGCACCCTGTCATGTCAGCAGTAAGAGTATCAAAACAAGTGCACCATAAAAACTGGGGGCTGGAGACCCCTTGTCTAAGAAGACCCTGAATCATAAGCCACTACCAGTATTCCTGACACTAAACAAGCAGCATGGCAAAGCTTAACTTTCAACACTAAGAACTCCAGTACACAGATGAAAGTTAGAATTTATGAATTAAACAAACTGTCTTTAACATGTATTTCATCCTGACAAGAGTCATACCTTTTGCCTCACCTCTAAAAAAATATTTGAAACTAAATTTAATACCCAAGATGACACATCTTGGGCAAAAAACCAGGCAATATAACTCTCTACCTTATAAAATTACTTCAATGTTCCTTTATTTTCTAGCATAGAAAATGCCAGCACATGCCTTTTAAATACTTAATGTAATACAACCCTTTTATGAAACTGTGTCTCTTTTTAAAAGGTGCTTTTATTGTAATGTTGATACATCAACATAACAAAGGAAAATTAAATAGAGTATTGTGTTAGTTCATAAAAAAATGCAATACATACCCTGTAGCTCCCAAACCTTCAGTGGTTCCATGTTGTTAGCAGTTTTAATTAGATGCTTTTTAAATTCTTTCAGGTTATTTTTCAGATCAGGATATATCTGTCTACAATAAAACATTTTCCTTTTAACAAAGGCAGAATCAGTTACATCAATCAATGTCTGTTTTTATCCACAATACTGCTCACAGCTAATACTGTATCTTCAGGGTAACAGGTAAGAATGAAAACTTTTAACTCATTCTTTAAAAAAAAAAGATTTGTGGTAAGAAAAGCTGATTACTGAAGAGTAAAAACCAGTTAATTAGTCTTAGAGTACAATCATTTAGGTTGGAACAGACCTCTAAGATCATCAGAGCATCAAGTCTGACCATTAACCCTGCCCTGCCAAGTCCACTGTTAAACCATGTTCCTCAGTGCCCCATCTACCCAGGGACGGAGACTCAACCACTTCTCCAGGCAGCTCTTCCCAATGCCTAACAACCCCCTCCGTGAGGAAATTCTTACTAAACACAAGGTGTTCAATTGTTTTGCAGTTATCTGCCTCAAAACCTGCCACAGAAATTGATGGAATAAATGAATTAAAAGATTAAACAGCATTAACACACAATACAGGTAACTGTGTAGTTAGTTAGTTTATTACACCATAATGTATACCTAAATGTATATTAACTGTACTACAGATTGATTGTAACTGTCTGCAGAGTTTGTGGCATTACTTAGAAAAGATAAAGGCAAGACAACGTTGAGAACATTTTTTATAAAACAACATTGCTGACAGAATCAAGCTACTGAGCACACAAATCACTAGTCTGACCTTAAGGAGAGCATGGTACCCAAAAGCTTAGCTATTTGTTTTGAAAAGATAATAGGGTAGGGTAAAGAAGTTTTGAGGGCAAACACTTCAGCCTGCTACAAGATATCCTTGAACAATCTCCATTAGATTTCTAAAGATTTTATGTCTTCTGCTTCCATTCATAACTATTTCACAGCAGAGAAGACTATAACTTTTGGCATGGGTATAACTGAGGGACAATTTACAGACTAAAATATCTATTTCACCTCCTGTATGAAACAGACAAGAAAAAAAAATAGTCTAGAGACTGTCAAAAAGTCTGAAGAATTATCTGACAACTTCACAAACCAGTCACAGTGCAACATTAAAAACTAAGTATAGCTAAACCTATCAGAATCCAAGAAGAAAAAAGCTCAGATAAAGATATGACATAAGCATTCGGTATGACCTGCTGTGGAAGGTCTCTAATATACAAGTGAAACAACAAGGAAGCCTCCAGATCTAAGTGCACTTCTAACTCAATCTGTTTACCTAAAAAAAGGCAGGAAAGGGGATGCGCTCTCAAGAATTTAGACAGAATTAGAAGTTCTGAACTCTGAGACTCACAGCTTAGAATTAACTACAAACAAGTTCACTTTTTTCTTTCAGTGGTAGGAGACTGAATGACACCAGAGAAGACCCACAGTCTTGATGTTTTTCCTGAACTAAAAACGATTTACGATTCCCTGCATGGATCTGTTACAGCAAAAGGGAAGCACTGGATGACTGAAACCATGAAATGTATCTGCAACTGAGGACTGGAAGGAGCCCTCAGTAGGGTAACATTCAATTTCATCTAACAGATTTCAACTTGGAGATAAGAGTTCCTGCTGGAACAGAACACAAATTCACAAACTCCAAAATAAGATATCTATAATAAGCACATCTTCCAAGAAATATCACTCCTATGAAATTAACTACTATCCTTCTTAAAAAGACTGTATGTAGCTACAGCACATGGATTTGTGTTTATCGTGCTGCTACTTGCATTTTGAAAACTTGCATTTTGATTTTAAGTATCTTACAGATATGAAAACATAGCATTCTAAGTTTTTGTGACTGATATCTAGACAGATTTTTTTTTTTACTTTAAAAAGTTACTGTATAGGTTCAAAAGAATGAGAAAACCACAAAGAATAAATTGGAATTAACAGAATAAATGCAGACATTTAGTTAAAACTTGTATCAACTCACTTTAATTTGCCAAAGAGAAACCCTTGGACATCACTTTCTTCTTCCTCTTCCTCATCTTCCTCTTCTTTTGTCTCATTTGCTCCTGAACACATAGCACATGTAGACAATATAAGCCAAGAAAGTTACTGGTATGTTATGTTCTTATGAATTATAAAACAGTTAACAGAAACATACAACCAGGAAGTTGTCATTCCCAGATGTAATCTTACTTAGATTTACACTTACACATTTTGGCATCAGAATTAATTACTTTACAGAACTTCCCAACATCCAAATTAATTTTTAAATATGATTCATCCAATAGTAACATTTTTTATATAAGTGGATATAGTTAAACAGTTCACTTCTCAAAACAACTATTCCCCAGTTTTATTAAGTGATAAGATATAACTCTCATCAGCCAACTACTATCAAATTTACGCTTGAAATACCTGATGACTTTTAAGCGCACGAACCTCCAGTTAGAATTTGATGTAAGTCGGAGATCAGTTTCTTTACCTTTAAAAAGTTAAACTATTTTTTGACATGACTCAAAGGTTTTTAAACCTCAGTCTTACCAAAGAGACTTAACTTTCCTTATATCTTGTAAATGTCCTTGCACAGTAATTTCTCTGTATCGACATGCTATAGCTACCACTTCCTGTGGTAAATGCCTCATTTCAACACATTGTAATATCCACTGCTCCCAATTCTATGACACATCACATCTTTCCTACATAAGATCGTGAAAATATTTTCACATAATTTCAGAAAAAAAGAAACCCTTACCCCTGAAACACTAATGGATAGATACTGTAGTCACCAGTGTGTGAGAGATGCCAAAAAATATAAAGTAATTAAAGGAGAAAGATTAAACAATTTTAAACTTACTTAAAGAAGACTGGATTATGTTTTGAAGATCCAGAGAAAACAACAATTAGAGGTTAGATAATAAACTGTATCCTAAGCACAGATCTTTACCAATGTTCTCATGTATTTTGATGTCTTAGCTCCTAACACCTGAGATTTCCTTCTGTAGAAAGAAATTAAGTATAACCCTCAAAACAAGAATGACTGAAGACTGTACAAACTGAAGATTCTAACACATTTCAATCGTATCTCCAATGAGATATCCATAAATTAAAAAAGCACATACCTTTAACCTGCGTGTCATCTACTGCTTTGTATTCTGTACTCTTTATTGCAAGTTCCACACTATATCCAGATAAATACATCTTCCTGGAAACTGGTTTCTGCTTGACGATATTATTTTAACATAAGAAAAAATATAACTTCAAAAAGGTATTCATAGGAGATTAACAATATATAATACTGTAACTTTAAAATTTTATGACAGACATTACTTAAATTCATCTTTCAATTCGAAGTACAAGGCATACTGACAGTCCACTGAGAAGGCCTGTAACAGAATGTGACAATCTCCTTTACCTCCTGCAGATCACAGAAAGGCTGTGTCTAAATTGTAGTCTCACATAATACTGAAGAAGGACTAGAACAGACAGAGCTCACAGCACCATATACAATTATCAACACCTCACAATTCACATTTTAAACTGTTATTCATTTCCTTCTAATGTTGCAAGACCTTCAGCATGTTAGGAAGAAATCCTCTATTTTTGCATCAGACTGATTCTTTTAAAAAGTTCTGAGAAAATAGTTTATCACTTTCAGCAAGGCGGATTAAGAAAATGTATTAGAGTATCACTGCTAAAATCAAGTTGCCACTTTGTTAGAAAGAAACAAGTACTTCTAACTTCGAAGTTTGAAATTCAATACTGTGATTACACAGAGAATACTTGTATCTGAAAATGTGCCCTAATTTGCCCCAAATGGAAATTTCCTTTCCAAAATGCAATTTGCACATGCACAGCAGCAATTTCTTGCAAGCCTTTCAGCTTTAGCTTGCAGTTTCTAAGAATCATTCTGTACTGAGAGTCCTCCAACCCACAAGTGAAAACCCAGCAGGGCTGGGGCTTTTCTCTGTCCATCCTCTAAGCAAATTTCGGTGCAGAAAGAGCACTGCACTCTATAACTAGTCTAGGTGATACTGGCAAAAAAAAAAAAAAAAGACAGCAGAAAGACCGTACCTCTTCTGTACTCAATGCTCCCTCTTCTGGCATTAAATGTAAAAAAGGAGGGAGAATCCATCTCAGTGGGAACCAAAGAATAAAAATGGAGGTTGTGAGGAAGAAAGCAAAGGGAACAGAGGTCTGAAGAGAGAAAAAGTGCAGGCAGGAAGGCAACACACGTTTCGGGGGGACCGTTATGCATTAGCCAGGCAGAGCAATGAGACATTTAATATGCAAGTAGGCATTTAATTGAAAAAGAGCAAAAAAGAACATAAAGTTCAGTAAAAGCTATAACCCACACAACTTAGAATTCAAGACTGGTATCCTCAAATTCTCTATTTCATTACTATGAGTAAATAATTCAAAGTCATCTGCAAACTACGTATCTCATCTCCCTGAAATGTCTGGTCTACGTGGATCACAGCAAGCTCTCACTTCATCAGATTATTCTCATATTTGTCACACTATTCAAGAGCTGTACTTTGAATATAAATTACAAAAGCCTTCCAATAACCAAAACTGGGCACAATACAGTTCCATGTACTGGTATTTTTTCTTGCTTTGTTTCAGGGAGAAGAGTAAGTGAAAGGAAAGAATTCAGAAACATTATGTTTCAAATACTGATACTGTGGAATGCAAGCATCCAAAAACTGGTCAATGACACTGACCGTGATAGCCCTCTCTGCTGTACTACAATGAACATATGAGATTATATTGAGAATTTATAAAAACATAAGTATCATTAATAATGTTACAACTTGATTTTCTATTCTGCTTTCAATTTTTCTAGTTCTTGTTACTATAATGTTCAGTCTGTGGTACCAAAATTCACCCAAGATCTTTCTATGGTGTATGAAATCCAGACATATAACCAAAAAAGAGGTATTTCAAGACCAATCAGTGATGCAGATAGTGCTTGCATGCAAGTTTAGATAATATTATCATGCTTTCCCGGGTTCAAAGTTTGTATTAGGTGAATCACTTCACCTAGACAGTTTTAAAATTAGAGCATAGATTGCACATGATTTAGGCAAATGCAAAAATAAATGCAGAAAATGTGTTTTGTCAAAAAGCAAGCAAAACAAAGACAGAATAATAACAGTTTACTGAAACACTGCTGATTTGAATCGCATACCTGAACATAATGCCGGAGAACATAAACAATTTCCTCTTTTTGTGCCTTCTCAGATAAAATCTTGTGGAATTTGGCAAAGTCTTTTGTACCCATTTCTGCATATAGAACAACCACTGGGCCATCCTCTTTGAAAGTTGGGAATTTATGGTCTCCTTTAAAAAGATATGGCCTGGGTCTGGTTTTAAAACAAATAAATTGTGATATTATATAGTCATAAAATAAAACAGTGGCAATTTTTCTCCTTCATAATTGAAAAAACTAGTGAAGGTTTATATGCTAAAAGTATACAAGCCACGTTAAAATCATCACAAAATAATCATGATTGCTCACAGATGAACCTAGAACGCCAAACTCAGAAATTAAAGTATAATAGACTAAAAAATCAGCATCAACTATAAATAATTCTAATATTTTTCATCAAATTACAACACAAAGCAAATGAAGAGCATAGCACTTGGAGATTTTGTGCAACAATCAGTAACAGCTTGAAGTTTTTAATTTGAATGATTCATTACATCTATTAGAGATGTACAGAGCAATCAGTGAGTAATAGAGTAGCAAAAGGATATTCTGTGACATTTGAGAAAGCTGCTAACACACATGGAAACTAACTGAGGTTATACTACTTTAACACCATCCAGCTCTCTTAATTTAGCTAATTTTGCAAATTTTGACTGCCTGCCTACCCTCCTCACTGAAAACCATAACTAGAAAAGTTATGCTGCAATGATTGCTTAGATGACTAAAAACATCCTTTGAATAAAACCTGGGAAAGATGAAGAAGTAACAGAAGATATCACTGAGCAATATACTCAAGGTGGTAATTATAGATGAGCATGTTTCTTATCAAAGCCTTTGCACAGCCATATTTGAAAGTTAGGAAACTCTAATCCAAAACACAATAAATATGTGTAGTAGACACTCACTGAAGAGTCACACTAGAGAGGTGAGAGCAGAACTCCACACACACCAGTTTCTGTGAGGCAAAGCTTAGGAATATCTTCAGTGTAAGAATCACAGAATAACATAAACTACAAAGGACCTTTGGAGGTAATCTGCTGCAAACAAACCCTCACTCAAAGCACGGACAATTTGTATCCGGTTACTCAAGGTTTTAACATCAACATCCTATGTAAATTTGGTAGGTATGCAACAACAGACCTCATTGGTAAGACAGAAATAAAAAGAGGAGCCTAGTTTGAGAATTGATTTTGATGTATGTGGCCATGTGTCACAGAAATATCAGGCAAGCTTTGCCACTGCTATCACTGGATGAGGCTTACCAAGCAGGTGTCACCTGGGAGTCTGAAACAACTCCTGCATGAGTAAGCTCTGTTCAAGAACTGACCCAGATCTACCCCAGTGAAAGCATTACATATGGGATGTGGCTTGTGCAACTTCTTCCCATATCCAGCAAGACCAGAACTGTCACAGTCACTTTTAAGAGTGGAAAACCTAAATCAAGGGAGCTTCACTTTTCGTAACTAGCCTTAACCACCTTAACTCAGGTGGTTACCAAGTGCTGCCATGACCTTCTGGAACACTGACAAACTCAAAGGAAGCGTTTCATATGCTAATGAACGTGTTTCACTAAAAAATTAAGTGCCACAGTGAAATAACACTGCATAGAGCTACCCTAATGACCTTGGTTAGGAGAATTAAAGTGCTCAGCCCTTGTAAATCCAAGATAAGCCTCTGTTCTCTGTTTTTCTTCAACACTGAATAGTAGTGAGAAAGAATTGATTCTCTTGCTCTTAGAGCTGAAAGCTAATTAATTTCCTGCCATAAGAGATTCTCATAAGAAGACGGCCTGAAAGGCAAGGAAGAACAGCTGGGCTCACAAAAAAAAAGGATAAAAAAAATTACATGTATGTGGAGTCTAGCACTTGCTAATCAGTCGCTAGGATAGTACAGCCTTGTATATGCTTGCCTAGACAGTTGCCAGGACAGGATGCAGAAGGAACATGATAACAGACAACAGACACATGTACTGACAAACTTAAGGCACTGACTATTTTGAACAAAATGTGACTCCAGTTAATGCTTCTACTCTTAGCAGCAACATCCCCAGAGGTCTTAGTATTGTGTTTTAGACAGTTAGCAAGATAAGCAGTCCCAAGCATTTAACCACATGTCCTTTGACAAAGCCCTTGAGCAGCCCACTGCACCTCCACACAAAATATTCCCTATTAGAGCCAAGCAGTCCATTGCAACACAGCTGAAAGTACAACGGGCAAAATCACAGGAGCTGCTGAATAAAGGACTGCATGAAGCAAATCCCTGACTTTGACAGGCAGAATATTTGGGCTCTCCTGGGTCCAAAGAGCCTGAGACTTCCCAAATCTTGGGTTGAGCTGATGGATCCACACAAAACTATGCTGCAGCCTCTTCTTTCTCTTCCAGAGAGATTTGAAGCTATCAATCCAATATATAATTGGATATTGATATATCAAAATCAAATTAGAACATTTCTAGTGTCCTCATCCAATGCAAACTTTAGGACACAACTGAAAGCATAGTTTAAACTGGTCTGGCTTAAGTTGAACAGTCACAACAGACAGAAGACAGAAAATGAAACACAACGGAAAATAGTTTGAAATAAAAGGAAATCAATAAAACATAATGACCTCTTTTCATAAAGGATAGATAAAAAGAATGACTGGTTCAGGGAAACCAACAGCAAGATGGTACACATTCCCATATATTGTTTGTTCACCGTATAGAAAAGAAAGAACAGGAGCACAGCCTTAATCTCTATCACCTAGGCTAAACATGTCTTGCACAAGTGAAAAGCATCTACTAGGAACAGTACAAATGGAAATAACAGTGGAAACGATTACCTGAACATGTGAAGGCGAACGCGTTTTTTCAAAGTCTAGCTCGAGGAACTCTAAATATTTGAGTGACACAACTACTTTTGGGGTGGAGAGGAGATGAAATTCATCAAGATTTTGTCCCTGCAGCTCTAAAGGTTGTAATGTGACTGATGCATGCAAAACTACCAAAAGTACAAGACCAACTAAACTGAAAAAAACTTCATTTGTTGCACGTTCTTAAAGTAAATGATTTCTAGAAGTCCAACTCTCTCACTTCTCAATAATTCAGGATTGTATTGTTTAGTGTTATGATTTTCCAGAATCTTGTAAATGGAGAATATGCTGAATCCAGTTAACTGCTTTAAAAGATAACTACATTCAGACACTGTAATAAAATGTTAAGGTCTTACGATGCTTTAATGTATGACTACATTTGTACTATATTTCGGCTTTTATCTAACAAAATAAGAGACATTTGTTAGCAGACCATAATAGTTAAAAATGGGACATTGTAAAATAGACAATGAATTGTTTTTGCAAAAACCTTGGCTATTGAATAAGTAAAAGACTATGATTTAGTAGGTTGTAATTGAATCAACAGACTTAGAATACACTATAAATCACATATGGGGAAGACAAAATTGTTCTCAGAAGCAACTAACTCCAAAGAGACAAGTTTATAGGTTTTCAGGTTTTTCCCTCATAATTTGTATTTTGCAGAAAACAAAATCCAAGAAATGTACCCTACTAAATCATCTTTCAGATCTGCGTATCTCCATGAACTGGCGGAGGTTATGGGCACTAATGTATATTATGGTGATCTTGGCCACTGCAGGAAAAAAAAACCTCAAAGAAAAAAATGTTACACACAGGTCTTGAAAAAACACAAATTAATACCTTTTCTTTTTTTTTTTTAAATAGAGATTGAGCATTATGCTTTCATTATTTTGTTACTGATTTGATAGGTTCTGCATATTTTAGTTCACAGCCCAAATTAATTTGGGGCTGATGCTAGTTACCACAGGACAAAGACTGCAGAAAGGCTTGACAAGTGCAAAGTCTAGCACAAGGTGAGGAAAGGTTATGTCAGCTGAGATAGGCTTCTCTTCCACTCCTGTGCCAAGCCCTTCCAATCTAGAAAACCTCAAGTGCAGTGGCACTGACTACGTAGAAAGGTCTGTCAGCAGAGTACTGTCTCAGACACATGAAACTGTAAGTTTGTACAAAAAGTACACAGTAACTTAAACTTGACTATCCCATATTAAAAAAAAACAACAACAACCCACAAAAAACCTCCCTAAAGAAATATAAAATTATCCATGTGATTAGAGGAACAAAGCTCTATGATTTTATTTTAAAACTCTACTTCAATTCATAAGTGATGAATTCTCTCAACATGAAGTGTTTAAAGCATTTCAAAGCCAAAAGTAAGTCTTTAAAAATAACATATACTTTAAAAGAGTATCTCTTTAAAGATCCAGTAAATTGGGCTTTATGGGCTTGGCATTACCAAGGAAGAAAACCATAAAATTTCAAAGTACTACAACTTTACATGCAATAATACATTTTCCTCTTTAGCAATCTACTTTTCCTCTTAAAGCAAATCATTACATTTACCTCTTAGTAGCCTTCTTCAGCAGTTTTTTTATTTCATTAGTCTTACAGGTGTGCTTCTCGTGGATAACCACAAATGCGCTGCAGCCTTCTGGTGGAGGTTCATCAGCTGCAATCTGATATTTCAACAATTACACTCAACCAGAATGCTTTGATTGCACTTCAACTTAAACTCACATCCCCCTTTGATTAAAATAACTCAACAGCTGCCATTAAGTTGTGTTTCCAATTAAGCCCATTCAAAATTGGGTATATGTAAAAAAAAATGAGGAAAATATTAGAAGATTAAGACCTTAAAACCTTTGTGAGATGTAGTCTATCAAATACAGTCATACTCCAGAAAATACTAGTCCATTTATGTTCTGTACAGACAGAGCTGAGAAATCTCCTTCACTAGCTGAAATCACAACCTGTACTCTGAGACACTTCTAATTTTAGTTGCTATCAGCAATCACCTTAATGTACAAAGATTAAACTTCTAAACCAATAAATCCCAATTAACATCAATTTTTGGTTTTCTCTCCTTCTCACCCCCTGCTTTTTTTTTAAACTCTATTCAGCTATGTAAAGTGGAAATCATATGACTGCATGTCAATGAATCCAGATTCACACGCTGCAAGATAAAAGTGGAAAGACATGAGTCTGAGATTATGATATTCCTCCAAAGAACACCTGCAAACTTCCCTAACTTTATTACAGTTTATTACGTTTCAGAAACATGGTTTTCTCACTTTATCTTAAAGATGGTATTGCTAAAAGGAGGAAGAACAGTTTTAGGCTTAGAAGCAGAGTGAATTTAGGTCCTCCCACTCTTTTGTTAATAAAGCAGGTACTTGTTTACCTTATTTTTCAAATTTTCAAATACAAAACTCCCAAGAGATGAGAAATCCATTCAATAACAAATATAAATTATTTGAAGCTACAGGAAATGTCCGAATTTGGGTATGTCTGAATTCCTGTCGGATGATTTAAAGCAAGACAAAAAAATCCTCACAACTTAAGTTTTACAAAACGATCAACTGCAAAAGATTCCACCCTGCAAGTAATGTTATCCACACAACTGAAAATCAATCTTTGTTCCTCTCATATTGACAGGAACCACTTATAAAGCATCACCTCAATAAATGGGCCACGTTTGATTCCAAATAATATTGGCATATATTTTACTGAACAGTGACGATGAACATTCTCTACTCTGTAACCGAAATACCACATTTAATCGTGTACCAGATATATCAGATAATACAGTCACCTGCTGGAACATCTGAACAGTCGGAGAATAAGCCCGTATGGAAAGTGCAAACTTCAACAAATTGACTTGCAAATTGGATAAAAATTGTCCGGCTTTCTTCAAGATTAAATTGTAATAGGAATACTCTGAATCTGTTGAAGAAAAAAAAAAAAAAAGACAAACTTTTATTATTTAGCTACAAATGATGTGGTGTATCTACCCACTTTACATAATAGGCGAACATTAATTCTAACACTGCTCGGCAGTGCAAAAATCCTGAATGTTGTCCACTGATAACTGCTGCCTTTACTACCAATATAAAGGTCTAGTACAGCACAAATAGAAGAAGAGAGCTCAACAGCACTAGTTAATAACTCAATTATTTTCAGCAATATAAAAATCCACTCAGTACAATAATGTATCTTTGAAGACCCCTATGCAAAGCCCTGAATAGAGTTTATACCTTCGTTTCTGTTTGTCAAGATTATGCCACCCTTTTAACACAAATATTCAAGGTTACTTACTTTCAACCAGCATTATTTTTCAAATAATTTCCTCGCATTTAGCCTTGAAACACTCCAACCATGCAACTTACATAAATAAAAATCTTCTAAAGGTGTCATTCTTTGGGCTACTCTCACATAATCTGTTTCTCCCGTAAAAATACATGATAAACAAGAGTATGAGAATGGATGTAACATGTGAAGTACTTCCCCTCTCCCTGCATACCTTGTGTTTTCAAGGACAAAATTAGGTCCCTAAGTAAGAAAGTAGGTGGATGTTGTCCGAGAATGAAAAAAGTGATAATACAGAATATCAGTTGGAAATAATTAGCCTTCATTTCTCATTCTAGAGGCATACTCAATTTTTATAACTAAGTACCTCCTATCCTCTCATTTTCCTTTTACAACCCTGTTGTGGTTGTAAAAAATATTCTTCTGCTCTAAAGCCTCTAGTATCTCCTTTCTGCCTCCTTCTTCTTAAAACTATTTAGAAAGGCTGAGTTTGCTGAAATTCGTTAGGGAAAAAATAAAATCTAATATTATAAAAGTATATAATCTGCATTTCAAGAAAGCTCCTTCCTGTAAATTTTATATGATGTTCTGGTTCCATATGGTATAGAGTTAATTTTCTTTCTAGTAGCTGATACTGGGCTGTGTTTTGGATTCAATATGAGAATAACATTGATAACATGCTGGTGTTTTAGTTGTGCCTAAGTAGTGCTTACCCTAGTCAAGGACTTTTCAGTTTCCCATGCTCTGCCAACGAGGAAGTGCACAAGAAGCCAGAAGTGAGCATGGCCAGGGGAAGCTGACCCGAGCTGCCCAAAGGGCTATTCCATACCATAAAATGTCATGCTCCGTTTATAAACTGGGGGGAGTTGGCCAGGAGCCGCTGATGCCTGCTCAGGGATGGGCTGGACATAGGTTAGTGGATAGTGAGCAACTATATTGTGCATCACTTGTCACAAGTTTTATTCCTCTTTCTCCTTTTCCTATTACTATTACTCGATTTTACTTCTATTATTAAACTGTTCTTATGTCAACCCACAGGTTTTACCTTTTCCAACTCTCTTCCTCGTCCCATTGAAGGGAGACAGAGAGCAGGCATGTCCTACTTAGTTGCTGCCTGGGGTTAAACCACAACATATGATTGTTTCTCTCTTACATTAAATTCAATGGATTAAAAATCCACCTCCTCTATGTTTTCTATACTGCACGTAGCCCTGGCAGAACTCAAATGGCAACAAAGCTGGTGAAGACTCTGGAATGCACGTCCTTTGAGGAGCAGTTGGTGGAGCTGGGCTGTTTAGTCTGGAGAAAAGGAGGTTCAGGGATGGCCTTATCGCTCTCTGCAACTATGTGAAAGGAGGGTGTAGCCAGGTGGGGATCGGACTCTTCTCCCAGGCAACCAGAAACAAAAGGAAATGGCCTCAAGCTGTGCCAGGGGAGGTTCGTGCTGGACATCAGGAAGAATTTCTTCACTGGGTGGTTAAGCATTGGAATGAGCTGCCTGGGGAGGTGGTAGAGTCACCATTCCTGGAGGTGTTCAAGAAATGACTGGACGTGGCACTTGGTGCTGTGGTTGAGTTGGCAGAGTGGTGACTGGTTAAAGGTTGGACTCGATCTTGGAGGCCTTTTCCAACCTTAATGATTCCTTGATTCTAAATGACATAAACTTGGCTTCACACATTCAAAACAATGAATGTAAAAATTTGGAAGTGGTAAGCCCTTCCAATTTGAAACATTTTTTCAATAACTATATTTTCAAATTTTCTTCAAAATCTCCACAAAAATAAAAATTAAATCCAAAACTTTTGCCTCTCTACTCAGCCCCAAATAACATCCTACTGAAGACAATGAAGAGCTATTAAATAGACAATTCTAAAGATACCACTTCAATAAAATATTTTCACCTAGTCTTTAAATTCTTTGGCTTACAAATTCCAGCTGTGCTTTCACTGCTGTATTTAAAACAGCTTTTTTTTTTTTTTTTTCTGGGAGATGATTATGATGATGATGATGATTTTAATAAGTAAAAAAAAAGTTTGTTATGTGCCTTCCAAAATGACTGTATAACATTGACAAGAATACATTTAACATTTATCTCTTAGGATGTTACAGGGAATCACGAAGAACCAGATTTTTTTGGTTATAAAATCCTGTATGATAGCATATTACCACTAAGTCATTAACAAAGTGTATTTAAAAATAAATGAGAACACATTAACAGGATACAACTCCAGACTTCAGACATCTGAATGCACACGTGTGAGCTAGGTATCTGTAAAATTTCATTCCAGCCACAAGAGATAAAGCCTAGCAGCCAACAAAACCTCAAAAGCTATTTAGCTCACTCAAAGATGCCTTAATTTGTCACCTGAATACCTCTCCAACCTCTTGTAGCCAAATTGATTAGACTGACTACAGCGAGAACTGAATAGCTAGCTAAGCAGACTCCCATTTAAACGCTGAATATTACTACCCACAATCTACAGCAGTATATTTCATTACACGTAAGTTAATAATAATTTAAAAGAGACAACCAGGGCAGTACCAAAAGAAAGGAAAAGTTTATACCACAGCTCCTTAGACCTCATGCACACACAGTACAAAATTAAGCAGAATATGCCGGTGACTCATACAAGAATTCAAACTACTGAGGCACAGGAGGTAGGCAAAGTAAACCTAAGGGACATAATCAATCAGAAAAACCACAGTATGCTGGGATTGTTATTTTGATGGATAGAAGTACGGCGGTTGTTCCAACTGCATAGATGTGTATATCTGTATCCATAGATCAGCTAGGGAATTAGAGATGCCAGGTAATGACAATTCAAGCAATCACTGGCCAGTCAAATATCTATGACATTCAAAATGCCAGTAGAGAGGGAATACTTTATTTTATTGCATGATTAGTACAGAAGTGCTATGCTTGTGAAACTGATTCCTCTAGGATCTGTAAGGCTGATATCACATAAAAATATTTATCTAATTTAGTGGTATATGAATAATGTGCATGAATGTTGTTTATATGTAATATATTGCTACATTTTTTCAGAAAAACAGTTTCCCTAGAGAAAATATGTTTGTTAGTTTTGTTTTGGTTTGTAATATATATTTATGCTGAAAATTCAACATATAAAGCACTTGGGAAAACAGTAAACACTCAAGTGATAATTAGTCGGCAGGGAACTGGCTACTTACCCTCACTCCGTGTTCATAAATTAACCTTTAGAGATATAAAAGCAGCAGCAAGTTTAAAACGCCACATTTAGTGTTTTGTAACTTCTGGTTTTAACATGAAATTTCTGCAGCTTTGATTTCTTTATAACATACCTGCAGCCCAAAATACCACCATCTGCATTTCCAAGTATTTCACAAGCCTGGCAGAAACTATGTTGCATATTAAGAAGACATAAACAATGTTGTCCATGCTACCTGAAGACCTCACTCTAATTTAATATAGTGTATCCCATCACTAACTTTCATTACTGATGTTTTCTATAGGGTATAATCAAAATGATGTCCAAGTTGATTTGAGTTCATATTAAAAAACATGTTAAAACCACCAAATACATCACCAGACTAAATGCTTTACCAAAGCATTTACCAAAGCATTACATACCAAATGTATGTAATTCCTACCAAATCCTTTACTTTGCTACATATATCATAACTAAAGAGACCATTAACAGACCTAATTTGCTAAGGCTGAATATTTTAAGTGAACAAATTAACAGATATTCATTTGATTATTCTAAATTTAAAACTACAAGTTCTGAGAACTGATAAAAAGACCGGATTGAAAATTATCCAAGGAATTATTTAAAAGAAAAAAGCCACCACATTCAGTTTTTTAAGTTGCCTTTTAGCTTTAATACTTCACGACTCTTCCAAAATTCAATAGTATGCTGGGATACAAATCTATCATCTGGTTCTTCTATAAACCCAGATTTTCAGCTTCAAATACAGTAATTGTTCACCTTTTATGAAAATGTTTCTATTTAAAAAAACATTTTTATTTTCTGCTTACTTATCCTATCTGGTCTTGGTATCACCCAGAGAAGAATTGAAAAGGTCATCAGGCCAACCAACCCTTTTTAAGCCAGATCCTTTTATTTGCTCAGGAAGTTGCTGTTACATCAGTTTTAATGCAGCATGAACACCCTCCTATGTCAATTGTGTCCCAAGATGCCACAGCTAAGACGGAACCCATTCCGTATCATATGGAGGACACCTCCTCAGAGGTGAACTACTACACATCTCTCAGTAACTGTGCCAATCCAGTACTGCAGTACCAGATTCTTCACTCAAGCTGACCATTTTATTGTAAACATACTGTAAATATATAGAATTCCTTACTAGAAATGACTTAACTATTGCTGGATATATATGATGCTCATATTATTTCCATTTTATACTTCCATGTTGACTTCAGTAAGACAGTCTTAAGTTGAAAGAATCAATATTGTGATTTAGTCATTAAGTAACCACTTTGCTTTCCTCTAAAACTGAATCTTTCCTTCACATCCCGTTCATGAAGAGCCTTAGTTTGCTTATGTAAGGCTACCCCAAATACAAGCTGACGTTAGGAAAGCTACTGGGTGCCAGAACTTCAAATTTTTTTGCATTATCGACACAGGCCTATGTTGGCAATAATGATAAATATACACATCAATTCCTCAATATGCTTAATTAAGGTAATATTTTAGTACATTCTCAAGGTTCCCAATAACCAGCATCTAACACTTCACTGGCATGACTGGTCATGGAGATCATCCTATTGGTAATTTATTTATTCTTAATCACAGAGTTTATCCAGGTAAAGTAGATATTTAACTAACAGCTGATTTCAACAGACATCTGTGTCACGAACAATAAACATCACTAAAGTTTCAAGTTCCTTGGAAAAAAGTGACCAAGCAAGCAGAAAAGAGATGGCTGATAAAAAAAACTCTGAAACATCATCTAATACAGCAGTCTTGTCTCAAAGTAATAATAACTGCATGTAAACCACTCAGAGAAAAAAAAAAAGAAGAAGAATTCAAGTCAAAAGTGACTTCTGGAGGTCACCTCATCCAAACTGTTACTTAGAGATCTAATTCAAGGTTTGATTAGGCTGCTCAAGGCCTCACGTGGCAGAGTGTTGAGTACCTCCAAGGATGTAAATTCTGCAGCCTCTTAGGGTAGGCTGTTCCAGTGCCTACCCAACCCCATGGCAGAAATATTTTCTGCCAAATTTAATGTTGCAACTTGTGCCCATTGCTTTTTGTTCATACTGCTGTGTACCTTCAGGAAGGGTTTAGTTCCATCTTCTCTCTACAGTTCTATCAGAAAGCTGGAGATAATGCGGTCGGTCTCTCCTTACTCTTCTCTTTCTCAGATTCAATAAAACTCAGTTCTCTCAGCCTTTCCTCAGAAGTCTACTTCACCTCCCTAACCCTTAGGGGAATCCACTCCTATACTTGCTCCAGTACTGAACTCTTGACTTTTAAAGGGGAGCCCCAACCTGGGCCCAGCACTCCAGACATAGTTTGTCATTTACAAGTGCCACATACAACTGTTCACAAGGATCCCCAGGTCTGTTTCTCAAAGAAACTGCTTTTTGAGAGTAAGTGCCAAGATAACACTGTTGCTGAAATTATTCCAGCCCAGGCATGGTGAGTCTGTAAAGTGCCTTTGCTGAATTTCCCGATGTTTCTGTTGGCCTCTCTCTCCAGCCTGACAAGGCCTCCCTAATGACACAGCCTGTTCTTTCAGCTTCGCAACTTCTCCCAGTGCTGAGCACTCAAATAACATTTTCACACTGACACGACAAACTTTTTAACTTTTATTCAGCCGGTCACAATTGCTGAAATGTATTGTTTCTCAAGTTCTCTCTCCCCTATATAGCATTTTTCAGGTACCTTCATTTCTCACTGCCATTTTCTACATGATCTTTCTACAATTTGTTAGCTTTTGACTACTGATTAAATATTCAGTTTCCCTCAAGCCTCTTCCAGAGGTGGCATTAGGTCCTCACACTCATGAGTGAAATGTTGTACTTTTCTGAAGTAAAGAGCAAAATGAAGCAGCCTTACCTTGTTTTGACACTTTTTTTCACCTTGTTCATCTGTTGACCTACCAAGCAGGTCTAATACTGACCAACCTGGTGAAAAGCCACTGGTAGGTGGTTTCTCAATTTTTCATTACCACGGACATTTCTAGTAAACTCCTCTCCAAGGTATCTTCTTGGGGGGGGGGGGGGGTGGTGGTTTATGCTTCTTTCATGCTTTGTTCTTCTCTAAAATTTCTTAACAATATTTACTTGTCCAATCATGCAAGGTATTTTTAATCCTATTTTGTCAGTGATAAAACTTGATTCTAAAACACCAGTATTAGTGCTAGAAAACAGTTTCTATACCATCTACAAGTATTATACCTTTTCTGGTAATTCTTTTAATTTTTTCCTTTAGTTATTTATGGGATTCTCTTCTCTGCAAGCATCCATCTTAGAGAAAACGTGAGGCCTCAATATCCTATAAGCTCATGCTGAGTCACATACTCAGACAGGTATCTTCAATCTTTACACTTCTGTTCCATATTTTAAGAGCAGTTCAGTTCATCTTGTGCTCTTTTTTTTTTTTTTTTTTAAACTCCTCTACATGTATTGCTCTCAAGAATATGCTACAACTCTCTGAAAGAAAACTATCTAATATGGAATACTGGAAGAGTTAGGCTTGACCTGTCTGGAACCAGTTAATGTGTTCTGTCTCAAAATAAAATACAGTGCAAGATAACATATTAAAAACTAGCATGTTGTTTAACTTACCTCCTTGCTTATAAATTGTTAATTCCCGTACAGTTTCCAAGAACTGCCAAAACTTCTCATTACCATCTTCTGCAATGAATTCACTGTTTAAAAATAAAAATGAATTGTCTATAGGTTGACTTTGTCCAAAGATGTACCACAGTAAAAGCCTTCAGTTGTTTAAAATAATAAATATCCAGCAGCAACCAAGTGTTACATATTTAATGACCTTCTAACATCTCTGCAGCATAAAACACTGAAGAGAGGTGTACTTTGCTTAAAAGAGATTTTGGACAAAGTACTACCATCCAAAGTCAACAGTGAGAGCTGTAAAACATGCAACTATTCTCTTGATACAGAAAACCCCCAAAATTTTCACTTTATCATTCATATGTATTCCAACATACAGTTATAAATAAAATCAATTCAGCACACAAACTTTATTTAATTGTGGTTAAATATACAAATAAGAACACGCATTCTGTCAGGTTAGAGTTTTTCGTTACATTATAGGCTTTCATCAATGACAATGTCTACTGTGCTACGCGGCGTAGTCTGCAGGGGTTACCCAGAGAAGCTGAGGATGCCCCATCCCTGGAAGTGTTTAAGGCCAGGTTGGATGGGGCTTCAAGCAACCTGGTCTAGGAAAGGTGCCCCTGCCCACAGCGGGGAGGTTGGAACTAGATGATCTTTAGATAAAGGTCCCTTCCAATCCAAAGCATTCTGCGATTCTATTATTTACTGGTAACACTATTTAAGTTTTTTTCCTTAAGGTAGCACCAGTTGCTCATTTTCCCTCTGGTTATGTCTGCCAAAAACTTCCACTTGCTAGCATGACTGAATTGTTTTCTAATCTTTACTTTGGAAGCTTGCCCCTCCTTTGATTACAGAAGCTTGCAGTTCTCCCTTTCATGGGTGTTCTCCAAACAGCAGCAAAGAAGTTTAAAAGCAAAACAGATTTAAGCCAAACAGGCAGGGAAGCCTCAAACACATAAAACTGGAAAACATTTTTCACTTCCTATTGTGAATCACAGGAGGGTTTGGGTTGGAAGGGACCTTAAAGATATCTAGTTCCAGTGCACTGTTCCAGTGCAGGGATACCTTCCTCTAGAGCAGGCTGCTCAAAGCCCCATCCAGCCTGGCCTTGGACACTTCCAAGAATGGAGCATCCACAACGTCTCTGGGTAACCCGTTTCAGTGCCTCACAGTAAAGAATTTCTTGCTTCCATATAATGTAAACACACCCTGTTTGAATTCTTTGTGTCAACTTCTAAGAAGTCGCTCTCCATCTCTCCTGTAGGCCCCCTTCAGGTACTGGTAGGCCACAATTAGTTCATCCCGAAGCCTTCTCTTCTCCAGGCTGAATCTATTATTACAACTTAACAATACCTTTTTTTAAAAAAATATACATTTTACTACTACAGCTTTACATGTTCACAACACTTTAAAAATCACTCAGTGAGTGTGTAAAAGCTACTTGGAGCGAGAGGAAGAGATCCTGTTACTCAGTGGAAGACAGGGATTGTGTAGTTTGGCTATCATGGGTTCGCACAACTGGCCCATTACATCTCCTCAACCTGAAGACCTGCAAAAAGTCTGAGCAGGCTAAACACGAAGCCGCTTGCACAGCGCACCCAGAGCGTGGGATTCTGCCCGCAACATCCACGCCGTTTTACGAGGAGAGAAAACAGTTCAGCCTTTCACCCAAGGAGTACTTTAACACACTCTCCGACCGGGAGAAACGCGGCCATCCCCCTCTGACAGCCGGCCTTCCCGCTCAGCGGATGGATAAGGGGGGGTCCCTCCCTGCTCCTGCCCCCCAGAAGACAGCCGGGGCAGGGACCGCAGCTGGGAGGAAGAGGAGGAAGAGAAGGAGGAGGCTGCACGCACCTCGCCTCCAGCAGCAGTGGGGTCGCCGGCCACTTCGCCGCCAGCCGGGCGGTCACGGGCTGCGAGGAGGAGGCTGGAGCGGTGCCGCAGAAGCTCGGCCGGGCGCACAACAGGGCGAGCAGCAGCAGGACCGACAGCGCCCGGCCCGCCATGGGGAGCAGCGGCCGCTCAGCAGCTCCCACTGCCCAGTCCAACACGGCCCCACCCCCTCCGCCCCGCCCACACGGCCGTGCCGCGCTCCTACTGGCTGCGCTGCGCCCTCGCTGCTGCGCCATTGGCCGGCGCCGAGGCCAATCAGCGGCTGACGGCAGATAAATAACGGGGCTGCCCAGGCCGGCGCGATGACACGCGGCCGTGGGGGCGGCGCGTGGGTGGTGCTCCGCGGGGCCGGGGAGGGGGCGCGAGCGACGTAACCACCCGCGCCCTGAGGCGGGCACGGCCCCCGGCAGCCCTCTTACTTATTTGTTTTAAGGTTGTTTTATGGAAGTGTGATCTTTGCGAGGAGTGCCCTTAGGCTGGGCTGCGGTGTGCACCGTGGGGTACAGCAGCGGCGGCGGCTGAGGAGGGACACGGCGGAGTTGTCGAGGGAACAGCAGCCGCCTGCCCTGGGCACTCCCCGAACCTCCCAGTGCCGCTGCCTTGGCTGGGTCCCAGAGGGCCGTTTTCCCTCAGCCTTCACCAGGCTGAAAAAAAAAAAAATCGCAGAACCACTGAATTGACGAGGTTAGAAGCGACCTCTGGAGATCGTCTAGTCTACCCCCCCCGCAAAGGCAGGGTTCCCTAGAGAAGGTTAGCCTGCAATGCATCCAGGTGGGTTTTGAATGTCACCAGAGGGATGGAGTCCACGACCCCACTGGGCAACCTGTTCCAGCACTCTGTCACCCTCAATGTAAAGAAGTTCTTCATTTTGAGGTGGAGCTTCTTGTGTTTTAGTTTATGGCTATTGCTCCTTGTCCTGTTGGTGGGCACCGCTGAAAAGAGTCTGGCTTGGCAGCTGCCTTTGAGATATTTATATGCATTTATAAGATCCACTCTCAGTCTTCTCCAGGCTGAACATGCCCAGCTCTCAGTCTCTTGTAAGAGATGCTCCAGACTCCTAATCATCTTTGTGGCTTTCTGCTGGACCCTCTCCATTAGCTCCTTGACTCTCTTGTACTGAGCAACCCAGAACTGGACACTCCAGATGATGCAAAAACGGTAATGAAGATCTTAGCAAGTGTGACCAACTTCATATATAACATGTATATTCATATACTATATATGTATAGTTGTTCCACTGAGGAGAAGGTACCTAATTTTTTGCCACCTCAAAGTTTTCCAAACTGACCTCTATTTTTAAGTGTGTTCTGTTTCCTAACTGCATGGTTTTTCCCTCAATAAACACGAGCTTCACAGACACCACACCTCTACCTAACTTACCTTAAAATGTTCAGGCTCATGGTCTTCAATTTCTTTATCTGCCTGAAATCTCAGTAGCTAAATCCATTTCCTCAACAAAGTTGCTACACTTCCTCATTTTTTTCCCAGCTGTATAGCAGAGCTAAAAGAGACTGGTGCTTCTGGACTTGTGTTGTGGGATTTGAATACAGAGCAGCTCTCGGTAGTCTGGAGGAGGAATCCTCCAGCTGTATTAAAAATAGAGAGTATTGCCTTTTCCATGAGTCATGAAACCTGAAGCTGAAACCTGGAATGTCTTATTGCTGCATAAACTTTGTTTTGCACACAGTTCTCTCCTGACTGCCTAAAGCTGCTGTGTGGATGGTGGGAGCCAGTGAGGGCACAACTCGAGGGAGCAGGCTATGGATTGTATAGTTTGTTTGTTAGTGCTCATCTCAAACTAGGGTGTAAAGCTCTGCCCTAGCAAAATGCTTGTACTTAACATGCTTCTGGGTGTTTGTAATGCAAGACTATGAAAAATACATTCCCAAGGGTCATTCGTATGTAAGTTCAGTCTGGGGCCTTTGTGGTTCATCTTCTCTCATAAATTTGTGCTGGTATAAGGCCTCGTGTAATTTTCAGGTACCACTGTGACACATCAGTGATGCCAACTTTAATGTAAATAGGTTGATTTAAGTAAACCTTACCTAAAACTGGCACTGCACCCTTCATACATCTCTGCAGAAACAATGAAAAGCACGGGAGTTCATATGCAAGGTTCATATGCAAAGCCATTAGAAATAACAAAATTCAGCATCTTTTATACAAAGAAAGGTTGTGGTAAACTGTCTAAACAGCTTTTTTTTTGTTTCATAATGATGATTCAGAAGTTGCTGCTGCTGCTAACAGGGATGGAGTAGCCAGAGTACTGTATAGATGAATAAGTTTGGGCCCCTTGTGTTTCTGTGCTAATAACCCATGTATGTGGCCAAAATCTTGCATCCACAGAAAGTAAAACCACATGCAATGGACTGATAAAACACACACTTCTGCCACTCCCTAGCAAAGTGCAAAATGCATTTGATTGACTCAGTAGAACTCACACTACACTTGTTCTGCACAGAATGGGCCATAGCTGGTGTATATTGGCCATGTACCAAAAAACATCCCAGCCCCATCAATCCTTCTATAGTTAAAGAACTACTGATGTGTTATTTTTTTGCTGTTTCTTCAGCCAAAACTGAAATCTACTAAGCATTTTCACCGTGTATATACGTTTACCATGCATTTTTCATAACTCCATGAAATAAAATATCATGATGGATGCACCTACCTTACCCTAATCTATCAATTGCTTTTCTATATAAAGTTGCTCTGTTACATTTTGGTTTATATTGATATTGAAGAGGCTGCTATTGTTGCTTAAATGGGAATTCCTAATAGCTTGCACTTGTTTCATCTTGAGCTGTGACAATTTATAATTTGCCATACAAGAAGACAAATAAAATCTGTTGGCACTGGCTATGGAAATACTGAATCTTTGAGTTCAGTGGCAAGATAAAGTGGTAGCTCTGAATCAAAGGTCATATCATTAGTTTGTGGTGAACTGAAGAAAGCAGCTAGTTCGGTAGTTCTCTTGAGAAAAGATCCTTTCTGCCTAAATTCAGAGATATCTGTTAGACAAAAAGAATCTCTCTGCTGACATCTCTCTCTTGCATTTAGGATTATTGTTTTATTAGATGCCTGAAATTTATGACTATAGATAGGCGAAATGAAGTTGGAAGGAACCTCAGGAGGTCTCTAGTCCAGCCTCCTGTTCAGAGCATGGTCAGCTCTGAGGTCCAGTCAAGTCTTGAAAAAAATCCAAGGCTAGCACCTGCGCAACCTTTCTAGGCAACCTGATCCAACGCTTAAGATGCAGTTTGGATTGCTCCTCAGAAAGAAATACAGTGTTGTAACAGAACATTACACTCCTTATAAAAGCTTTTGCGTATTTATCCATTTTCCCTTTGTTAGCTACATTCTAGCCACAAAGAGCCATTACACACTTTTAAAAAAATCTGTCTCTGTGTATTTGACAAAGGTAGATTTTAATCTGTTAAGCAGTGTGCAAACATAGAAGATTGAGAGCAGACTTAATCTTCATTTCCACAGCAGAATTTTGTGTAATTAAGTATTCTAAATAACACTTGGCCATTCTTGCACATACATTCCATATATATATGTGAAAAAACCCTGAGTTCTCTGAAACCATTTTTCAGCAGAACAGAAGAACAATTACAGCAAAATTTTAAAATTATTCATATCACAGCTGTGCAAATAGGAATTGATTATCATAGCTGTTTCACTGTGAATAGAGAGAGTGATTAATGAATGTTTCTCGGTAAGATGCAAATGTTTTATAGTATAAGTCACAGTGAACTATGTCTATTTAATAGAAATAGTAGCAATAAGTGAAAATAAGTTGAGCTTCATCAGCATATGCAGTTAGCTGAAAATAAAACTGTATTTTTTTAACATATTGAAAACAATTTTCGAGGTGAAAGGCTTCCCTTCTCTCTAACTTGGAGGTAATGTAAATGTCAAATATTAGTCAAAAGATATACCTGTCTGTTACCTGGTTATTAATTGACGGCCTTTGAGCAGTGACTGCTGGCACCCTTTTATCTTGCTGTGAGATTGGAGGCCAATCTCTTCAGAACCTGTCAGTGTCACTCCTATGACAGGCATTTGAGGTGTTTCCCTGAAGAGATTAAGGATGCCATACTGCATCCCTTTTTGTCCATTCCATTAAAGACCAGCCTTAGTTATTTGATTAGCATATCTCAAGATAGAGGTATTATGGAATAAACAATGCAAAATATATTTCATAGTCTGTTAACTTTTATTTTGATTTACAGGGACAAGCCAGTGAAAGAAAAACTGATGCAGAAGTAACATAAGCCTGGTTTCAACAGCTCGCAGAACCTGCTGTGGCAACTTTCTAGCAATCAGAATTTATGCTGCTCTGCTTTGGCCACACATACAGCTGCAGTGACATCCTCCTCCCAGGATGCTTCTCTTTCCAACTTTTACTGAAAAAAAGAAAAGCAACAGAAGCTTTGTAAAATAAACACAGGGATTACATCTTCTTTTTTAAAATGACCCATCTTAGAAATCTAAAAGAATATAATTCCTGGGCCAGATCAACAAACTTCCTATGAAAATCTGGGCCTATGTGTACAGTGTAGTGGGCAATAGTAAAATGTGGCCATAATGGGGAATGCCGCTCTTTAAGATCTTTAAGAGTGCAGGTTTTTCTGAGTTTGCCTGTGCTAAATCTTAGCTTATTATTACTGGATCAAGTTCATCATGTAATATGAGTTGGCACTTCTGATGCCAACTAACAATCCCGGTTGTTAACTGGTGTGTGCTCATAGTTATCCTCTTATTTACAGCACCCTGTAAAGTTTTCAGGTGTTGAAAAAAATAGAATATTTTTCTTTCTTTCCCTAATTGTAACTTGTGAATTTGTCTATGTGCTCAGTGAAAGGAACACAGCTGATACACCAGTGATACAAAAAATAGCCTAAAATGTACTATAAGGGTATTAAATCACCATTGTTGATGATTCAAGTAACAATCACATACTTGTATTTTAGGCAAGGTTTGTCACATGCAAATATTTGGGAGATTATTACTTCAGGAGATAGAAAACTTATAAACAAAAAGTACAAGGTTGTGTATTTTTACATTAGTTCCTAAGCTTATACGTGCAATGAAGTGCCTCAGGACAATTCTGGCCACATAG